GAATATCTCCCTTCAAGATGATTTAAAAATTGTTTTATTCTTTAAAATTCTTGAATCTCATAAATCAATGGCAATACTTTTTCTTGTTATTAAAGAATATTTTACGAATCATAGATATTACATGTATTCAAATTTATATCAGCACCATTCTTTACCAATAATCTCACAATTTCAAAACGCTCTCCTTAGATGGCAGCAATCAAAGGTGAAATAAAGTATTTAGTTCTCGAATTTATATCTGCTTTATGTGAAATTAAATATTCAGCCAGATCATATCTACCTAATTAGCATGCAATTAATAGGGTAGATTCACCGTAATCTGTAGTTTTATCAATATCAGCTCCCATTTAAACTAATCAATTTATATTATCCAATGGTTCAAATGCTGAATTCTCCAATATCGAATTTTCAATCTATTGATAATTTCTCTAACAACAGGTTTGTCAAAGAAATGGTCTAATTCGTTGAGAGTACAGTGGAATCCATTCATCAAATCTTGATGACCAACCTTTGTATACTCCTAATTTATCAGTTTTATCACCTTCATAGCAGTATACTCTAAATCCAATAAATGCCATTTTTACAGTATTATCATTATTTACTTAACTTCTCTCTTATATATCAAATATGATTGATCTATACCAGGTTTATTAATCATGTGCGTCAACTAGCATCATTTATTTCAGCTTATCTCTTTATTCATACAAATCTTTTGTATATGTTCCAAACTACTCAATTTTGATAGACCACTTGTTAATTATTTTTTTTATTTACCAGTTATCATAAATAAAGTCTAGCTGAAGAAAATCAACAGAATATACCGATATGATCTTCGCTTAGACCCAAGCATAGTCATTTCTAGATCTTGGTAATTTTAAACTGACATCAATCATATCCCCTGCTTTAAGTTCCCTTCTCCATGCTTAGGTTACAGTCTAATTGATTTCAATAGGATCTGATTCTATTTAATACTTAAACATTCTTTTGAATCCTTAAGTCTCAGCATCATATTCATCTTAAACTTCATCAAAATGCCCTTCCATTAATCTATCTAATACTAAAAATTAGGAAATCTGGAAAAATTTAATCTTATTTATTTAAATTCTTCAAAATCTCATTAAAGCCAATATATACATCAACGGGGTTTTGGGGTTTTGGGGTTTTGGG